TTTTTTTGTTTTGGTTTTTGTTTTTGTTTTTGTTTATTTTTTAGTTACTAAATGTTTTAGTTGCCTAAAGTCTAATTTGTTTTTAGCTACCAAAGTTTTAATCGTCAAAAGTGTTTTTTCGTTTTTTTTTTCTTCGGATACTAAAGTTTTAGTCAACAAATTTTTTTTTTTAATTTTTAGCTACTAAATTCTTAGTCACCTAAAGTCTACTTTTTCTTTTTTCTTTTTTTTTTTAATCTTAATTTTTATTTTTATTTTTTATGGTTACTAAATATTTAGTCGTCAAAAAATTTGTTTTCATTTTACTTTTTTTAGTTACTAACTATTTAGTTGCTAAAAATATTACTTCCTTTTTGGCTACCAATTGCTTAGTCGCCAAAAACATCATTTTATTTATTTATTTATTTTTTTTAATAATTTGTCCACAACCTGTATGTATTCCGTGCAACCTATACCATGTATATAAACAAAACAATACATATATTATCAACCATTTAATAATCTGCATCCATTTCACTTACAACCATCCAAAAATGAATAACTTTTAATCTCAAATTCCATACAAATCATGTCCAACCTAAAATATTACTTCCATACAAAATAGAGAATCATACAAAAATCATGTCCTCCATACACAAAAAAATATATTCACTAGCATGCGAAATGGCCATTTGGCATAGTACAAATTATTAAAGTTCATAGTCACTTCGAAGTCACTTTTGATGGAAGTCAAGAATAGGAAGATCCGTCCACAGAGGAATCCTTCAAAAAATTCAATTAAACATATAGTTTTATTTGAGCTTAAGGAGGCTAGTAAATATCATTTTTTTGTAGAAAGATTTAGAACTCGAAAGATGTGATTCTGTTGGAGACCTATCATCTTACCATTGCACCACATGAGGCCAAAGCTATTGAGGCCACTCGACTTCTCGAGAAAATTGAGAAAACATATCAGCACAAGATATGCAATGCCTCACATATCAATGAGAAATGGAAAGACGTTTTTAAAAATAAACAAATGTACTAATGCGAGCTACAGAAGCAAGATATATTGCTATGTAGATATTCGATATGAAAACAATAACATAGCTGTAGGAGTCAAATGACATGTCCCGAGCTCCTACTACCAATGCACCAAGTATAATTGAAAAATCTAAAAATTCCTAAGATATTGATTTGTGATTATGTTTCAATTTTAAACTACGAATAACAATCCTAATCAAACAATCAAAGACATATCGACACAACGATTTAACGTGAAAAAACCACAATTGGAGCGCCTCTAATTGTGATAAAAAAATTATGGGCCAAAGCCACAAAACAATCCACTTAGAAGACAAAAAAGAATTACACAAGTGTACTCTCAATTACATATCGAATCCATGCCTGAATTGAATTGACCCCAATGTGCCTCTTCTACCACTGTCTTCACTTCGAAATTGTCTTGTCCAACATTGAATCCACAATGCTGATGTTGAATCTACGACAATGAGCCACTCCGAAATCCACCAAAGCTTCAGGCTCAAGTTCCTCGGAATCCACCGAAGAACAACTTTTTCTTTTGTAAACGAAACAATAATACCAACCCTTGATATTTGATAATCTGAAGTTCGTTGATCAATCGATCACCTTCTATGCACCAAGGAAACTCATATAAACTATCCTCCAATATAAAACACTTTGTTTGTTCTTCTTCTCTGAAAATCTGGATGACTTAAACCCTAAAAACAGTGAACAACGCACTTTATAGAAAACAGGATCGCGCAGATTGCTCGAGCGCACATTTCACTGCTCGAGCGATGTAACTAAAGGCGGTGTGAAACATATATGTTGACTGCTCGTGCGCAACTGTCACCGCTCAAGTAGTGAAACTTTCTTCCCAGAAGTTCAGGCATTCTGTAAATATACTAGATGATCCTTTTCTTCGCTCGAGCGTACAAATGACCGCTCGAGCAGTCAAATAACTTCGACTACATTGTTGCCTTTTGCTTTGGGGGTGCTACCCTTTGACCCAACTGTGGCTTTGCCCCGGACCCGTCATGGGGCGTTGCCCCCTAGATCTCTGTACTTAGTCAGCGATGTGGCAAACATGAAAGGATGAAGATCACAAACTCCTCTGCATAGGCACAATTTGGATTAGATTTGCATCTAAATACTCATAGCGTCACTGAAATAAAAAGATCGAATAAAATTATAACTGAAAGGAGTTTTGTTAAATGGGATTGCCAATAACAAAAACTTAACAATAATTATCGCTACACTGATGAGACACTTGGAAGTTTCAACCAAGAAAGATGTCAGAAATATTAAATTTTACAGGTCAATTCCTATCAAATAAAAATTGCAAGGATAAAACAATCTGAATAACAAGTTTGTCATGCTTGTATAAAGTTTCATATGTTTTTCACTTTGAAGCTTGTAAAAAGCCTAATCAAATGTTGTTATTACACATACATCAGGCCTTTGGTATTTTATTCAAGAAATCTTGCACCATTTAAATTTGGTTTGTTAGTAACTAACATTTGTAGCTAGGATAAGTTCAAAAACCAAAATAACTCAAGAATTGTAAAGGTTTACTAAAAATATAAAGGGAAAAAAAAATCATAAACATTAATGATGTACAAAGCACTATCAACACTAAGTAGCATATAAATATTTTCGTACTTCAAGAAAAATCAATGAATGATGTATTGGAAGAAAGCAACAATGAGAACATGGAGCCTACCTACAAACCACAAAAGGTGAATGTTTCTGTCCTACCAAAAGGTACTTCGTGACCATTGTAAACGCTATCGTTGTCCGCCCACTATAGGAATTTACACATTCGGCGACTAAAAATGGCGACTAAAGCAAATTTAGTCTCCAAAGATACACACTTTAGCTACCATACTAAATTTAGTCGCCAAAGATAGGCACTTTAGCTACTAAAAGAAATTTGGTCGGGAAAGGTTCTATTTTCAGCAACTAAGAATAATTTAGTCGGTATTGATGTTACTTTTGGTGACTAATTTAAGTTTAGTCGTTGAAAATAGGATTTTGGGCTGCAAAAAAAAAAATCTTGGTCCCTACATGTACAATCTTTAAATACTAAGAATAATTTAGTAGCTAAAGATGTTACTTTTGGCGACTAATTTAAGTTTAGTCGTTGAAAATAGGATTTTAGGCTACAAAATAAATTTTGGTCCCTAAATGTACAATCTTTATCTACTAAGAATAATTTAGTCGCTATTTATCTTACTTCTACCGACTAAACAATTGTAATTAAGTTTTGGATGGAGGATTTCCGATTTTAGAGGGATTCCTAAAACAATTAGCGACTGAATTATTCAGTTCGTCGGGAAAAACTGGTTTTATTTCGTTTTGGTGACTAATAGACACTGGTCGGGAAAAAACTAAACCTAAGAAATTAAAAGTCCAAGGTCGATCTGTCTCACTCTCATTCATGCCTCTGTGTCACTGTCTCTCACTCTTGCCTCACCCCTCTGTGACTTTCTCTCTCTTTCTCTCTCTCTCTCTCTCTCTCTCTCTCGCCTCTGTCCTCCTTTCTGTCGATTTGTCTCCGTCTGTTACACGAGCACCACCACAAGGGTTACATGAGCACCACAGTCGCTTCCAGGTATATCTCCTCTATTTCGCCCTCTCTCTATCTCTCTCTATTTGTCTCTGTGTCTTCCTCTCTCTGTTTGCCTCCATTCGGAACTGTGAGGCACCAGATGTTGAAGAAGTGGGACAAGAATTGTTCCTTCTATTTCCATCGACCTCTTCATCACAGAGATCTTGTGCATTATCCATCTAATTCACTGCAAAACCACACTACACCTATAAAAAAAACCATTAGTTTTTGAAGCATTGTCATTTGGTGATGATGAATAGACCTCGCTGAATCGATTGGAGTTTAATAATCGACCCAGCCCCAACATTCTTTTCCATACTCCATCTATGAGGATGTTGGTCATGACCACAAACATAGCATCGATTCCCATTGGGTTCCGTTCATTGAATCACCTACAAAAACTACTCCCTTCCCTCAGATCAATACCAACATTTTTATGGTATTGACCCTAAGAAAAATAACAACCTTCTCTCTCTCTTCTTTCTTTTTCTCTCTCCGATTTCAATGGCATCAGATTGAACACCTCTATTCAGGTACCCTTCTCTCCTCCCAATCTAGTTTGGTAGAACTATTGTGTATGCCTCTCTGTGTTTTTATATAATGTTTCAACTGTTGAACCCAAATGAGTTTAACTGAAATGCTTGGGTAAATCACCAGGTGGGGTTAATTGGCTCAAATTGTAAGCATCTTATATTAGCCAATTGAACCATTACTACACTCTTTCACATGTTGAGTTCAACTTCAGGCAATTGAGTATAGCACCTTAGCACTTTAAAAAAGAAAAGAAAAAAAAAGACACTAAAATTAGCATAATAGGACAGATGGTTTGGTCATGCACAATGAAAACCTATAGATGTAACCATAAGGAAGGTGGATGTGATCACCACATATGAAATTAAATGCGATAATAAAAAAAGATATGAACTTGTTTAATCTAACTGAGAATATAGCCTTTGACAAAGAAAAATGACGAAAAAATATTCAAATACCCCACTGGATTGAGAAATAAGGCTTAATTTGGTTTGGTTTGATTTAGGAGAAAAGCAAAACCTATCATGATCTAAGATTGGTGACTGACAGTGATACATAATTTTGACTATCAAGAGCACAATGAGTTTGTTCTATGTGAAGTGTGCATTTATTCAAAACTTAATGAAGTTAATGCCTCTCATCAGTTTCATTAGCAAACAAATTAGTTGGTTTATTTAGGCATCATTTGTCACATGGTTTTGGAAGAAAAATTTTCTACTTTTGAAAGCAAGCTCTGGCTTATTTTTGTTATAGGAGTTGAGAATCACACACACTGCACATGTCTTACTCAGTGTTTCAAACAGTTTATGTATTTCTTAATTTATTAATATCCATATCTCATGTAGTATAGAAGAAAGGTATGGCAACCAAAAAGAGCGTTACACGTCTCAGCATCAAGTGCCAAGAAAATCCTGATAATGGGAGGGACTCAGTTTATTGGTGTGTTTTTGTCAAGACTTCTTGTAAAAGAAGGCCACCAGGTATGAACCCTTCTCTTTACATTTTAACATTTATATGTACTGATTTTCTTTTCCCAATTGTTTTTTTTTTCTTAACAATCTTTTCCACTTATGGCGTGCAATTAAAATTGGATTGACAAATTACTACACAGATTTATATTAGATGATGTCTTCGACTTTTTAATAAAAAAGTTTTATATAATAATGCAGGTGACTCTATTCACAAGAGGAAAAGCTCCCATCACCCAACAATTGCCTGGTGAATCAGAGAAGGATTATGTTGATTTTTCTTCCAAGGTTATTAATTATGATATATACAGTGGAAAATTCTATTGACCTTTTTGATCAATTTCATATTTTTCTTTGTTGATGAATGAAATATTGTATTCTAAGTGTAGATCTTGCACTTGAAAGGAGACGGGAAGGACTTTGAATTCGTGAAAGCCAGTCTCTCAGCCGAAGGCTTTGATGTTGTTTATGATATTAATGGTATGCATTGCAATAAATTTTTGCTCCTTATGCAATCCACACAATGTGTCCTATCTATGTGTTTATTGTAGACTTGTTAATTATGTTCTAGTTTTTGTTATAAAATTTGGAGTGTTTATATTGTTTTAATTGTTCTAGTTAATTACTTTGATAGCCTTCTTAATAGCATACATGGAGTTTGCGTTACATTAATTGGGTATTGTCCTTCCTGTCTAGTTCATGATCTATGGCTAGCCTTTTACCTTTTAATCTTAGAAAAGTAAATTGCTAAAGTTAAAATTTGTGTGCGATAATTCTTTCAGGATATGGCTTGCGACACATTCTTGAAAATTGTTCAGAAGTGCAAGCATAAATTTGTTATTGTACAGGTAACATTATTTTAATCTTGTTGGTCAAATGTCAATTTTTCATATTGGATATAACTTTGAATGTGTCATGCTTTTCTTCTATTGTTTCCTGCTTGGAGAAAGCAAACCATTTGTATCTGAACTTCTAACTGTAGAAGTTGTATAGGAAATGAAAATATCTTTGATAATAGATCTTGAGTACAGAGTTTCCTATTTATACAATATTAGAGTTTTTTTATGTAGCTATACTATATCTAACTATGTAACTAAAAGTAGTTGTAACAGACTTGATACAACTGAGCTTAATATCTAATGAATTATAATGCTTGAGCCTCGTCTGTTTGTTTTGCTTGTGTAGCTGATATTATCTCATTAGGCCCCCGCAAGTGAAGAGGTGAGGCACGAACCATGAGCTTGTGCTGAAGGTAAGCAAAGCGAGTAGAAGAAAGAGTCTTAGTGAAGATATTAGCAAGTTGGTCAGAAGAGCCAACATGTTTGACAACAAGTTTCTTTGATACAACCTGTTCACACACATAATGATAATCCACAACAATATGTTTTGTGCGGGCATGGAAAACAGGATTCGAGGCCAAGCTAATAGCAGAGAGATTATCACACCAAAGCGTAGGCACACCAGAAGAAAGACGTAATTCAGTAAGGAGCATCTGAAGCCAAGTCAGTTCAGAGGTAGCCTGGGTGAGAGCCCTATATTCGACTTCAGTGGAGGAACGAGAGACAGCACTGTGCTTCTTAGCAACAAAGTAAACTTGCTAAACTCATCCACAAATAGAACATAGTATCTAATGAATTACAATGCTTGAGCCTCGTCTGTTTATTCTTCTTGTGTAGCTGATATTATCTCACCACTAATAAGCCTTCCTGCAATAATAGCTGATCTTGAGGCCCATCAGATTCATTCATTTTATGAATCAGTATGTTTGTCTGATTTTTTGATAAATAGTATCTTTGTCTGGTGCCCTAATATTAGACTGTATAAAGGGTGGTTGTGAAGTAACAATTGTTGTTCTACTGTTTCAGGTCGGCAATATGATTCAAGCAAAGTCTAATCCTCAGAAGAGCGATGAATATTTGAAGAGGCTAATGGAGCTTCCAAATCAAGCAAGCTTTACATAAAAAATGCTACTACTTCCAGGAATGCATGTGCATGTGTTCAAGCCCATGCTAGTCTTTGTGGTAGCTAGTGGCTTATGGTTTCATTTTTTTGTGCAAAAATGGATTGAAATTATAGGATAGAAATGCCATAGTGTGGATTTCTTGAAAGATCAAGATGTAATCAAGACTGTCCTTAATATATTGCAGGTATGTTTTACGACTAAGACAATTTTTCTTGAGTCAATGAAATTACATTATTTGCTGTATTTCCAGAACTTGGTTCTCTCATGGTGCATTATTTTTTCTAAGTTGCTGCTTCTTCTTCTTCTTCATTTATCTATTTAGTTATTTTCTTTGGAGATAGGGTGGGTATTCTGTGTGTGAGTTGATGTGAAATTGGAACCACTTAGGGAGGCTTTGGCAACCCATGCTTTGTTATTTGACTTTGTTTTACTGCAACAGAATGCACAATTTTTTAATTTTATTTATTGTTTTAGGGAGATATTTGAACATAATAATGGTATTATTATTTTTTTGTTATCGAACATAATAATGGTGTCATTACAAAGAATTGTAGACATGCTTCAAATTGACAAGAAGAAATGTAAGTGTCCTTGTTATGTACTTTTTTCTTTCTTTCCCCCTGCGTTGGCTATGGCAGGGAGTTGGTTAATATTACATATTGTGAGAGATTTATTGTAATTTGCTATTAATGGGTTCTGTTCTTTGTATCATTTAGATCAAATGGTTGTTTTTGTTATTAACTTAATAATGTGAATAAAGGTTCACTTTGTGGATTGAACTTTGTGATAAATTAAAGAACTTATCCATTGAATGAGTAAAACTCATCAACCGTGACTCATGGTTTATCATTGGTAATATATTTAGTGAAACACATTGGATATTTTTTGCTGCTAAATCTTTTTGCTTTCTTTTTAGGTCACCTTCTTCAAGATTATTTCTTTTTGTACCTTTCTTAAAAAGTATTTTGTTCTATGTTTCCCTAGCTTTTTAGATGGTAGATTATGGATCTGTATACAAGATTCTTAACCTTGATAGGCTTTCTTATGCATATCACTGTCACTTCATGCTGAAGCATGATTCATGGAAGTCATTTTGTTTTGCTTGGTAGACAAATACAAGTGTTGCCAGTTCACTTGGAACATATTTCTTATCTCAAATTTCATTGATCTTTTTGGACATGCTTAATGTATACATGTATTATTTCGGATTACAATTTAGTCAATACTAATGATTAATTTTATTTTTGCAGATGGTTTTTGAAGTAGAAATGTGGATATGACTTTTTTTGACAAGTACGGAAGGGCATTGTTTTTATACCTCCGTCCTTATATATAATGGTTCATACAAATTACTTTTTTGGCGTGGTAAATATCTAAAATTTGGCTTCGTACAAATTAGCATTGGACGTGGTACAAATTAGTTTAAGGTTCAGTACAGATTAAATTTTTGGTGTGGCACAAATTTCCTTTTGGATATTAAATTTGATTAACCCTCTGTTATGTATGAAATTAAATTATTGAGGTTGGATTGTACTTGGTTCGTATGGAATTTGTATTACATTTAGAATTGGGTGTTCAATATTAATTTTTTGGATGGTTGAAAGTGAAATGTGTGCACGTTGTCGAATGGTTGATAATATATTCAGTATTGAAGGATTATAATGTTTATACAGGGCACAGGTTGCACTAATAATGGATACAGGTGGTTCAAAAATTAAAAAAAAAATTAATATAGTATTTGGTGAGTAAATATGTTGGTAGCTAAAAATGCAAGCAAATGTTTTGGTTGTAAAAATTATTGCTGACTAAATATAAATTTAATATAGTATTTGGCGACTAAATATGTTGGTAGCTAAAAATGCAAGCAAACTATTGCCGACTAAATATTTTAGTTACGAAAAACCCAGAATCCTTTGGCGACTAAAATGTTTGGTGGTAAAAACTAATGAAATGAAAATTAAGAGGCTTTTGGTGACTAAAGTTTGTAGTCGGTAAAAGTAACAACGACTAAAAAATTTGGTCGCTAAATGTATGTATTATATTACCTGACTAAAATGTTTTGTCACAAATTGTATTATTGTAGGCTTTTGAGAACTTTTGGCGACTAATATTGTAGTCGCCAAAAGATAACCTTTGTCGACAACTAAAGTTTAGTAGCCAAACATTCACTTTCGGCGACTAATGTTTTAGTCGCCAAAAATATAACCTTTGCCGACTAACCAAGGTTTAGTAGCCAAACGTTCACTTTTGGTGACCAAAAATAATTTAGTCGCCAATACTATCGCCGACAAGGTATAAGCGACGACCTTGGCGACAAAAAAATTTAGTCGCTAATGCGTTTCGGCGACCAAAAATTGAGCTTTTGGTGACCAATATTTTAGTCGCCAAAAGTGACATTTCTTGTAGTGGCCTGTACATAGGAACACTTATGACATGCATAGATTCGATTGATGCCAGCTTTCACCAAAAGAGAAGGACATAAGTATATCTAGAAGGAAAATTCTAATATCTACCCACAAAAAAAAAAAAAAAAGAAGATTTTGTGCCATCAAACTCATACCATGTAAAGCAAATATGATATTACAAGAGGAATGGTGTGACACAATGTCTTCAATGGTACAAGAGTTGCCCGATTGGTAGTGATACCCTCTAATTCATCATCCGTGAAAGATATGATCTTTTACTATTTCATTGCATATAGAAATATACATGAACACACCATCTGCCAAAAAAATAAATATAAAATAAAATAATTCCTCAATTAGCTAATAAGAAATGATCAAACTTACATCTTCAATTTAGCAAACAATTCTCCGTGTGGCGTCAAAACTGTTAGACCACTTAGGAATCAAAGAGTTTTGAATGAGTAGTTGGGAAAAAATATTATAAACATAAGGAAATATATGGGTGAAAAATCAGATTGCATCATTATAAAACTCATAAATTTGATATTATAATTCACAAATATCTAAATTGTGAAAGGTAAGTTTACATTACTTAATTCATGTAGGATACATTTATCGTAATTTAATGGGTCTTTTTGGTAAGTGGTCGTCAAAGTTGTACATCAACAACCAATATCATGAGTACCTCAACCATTATGAACTCCATGATTGGCAGGGTGTGAAGAAAGAATGGGCAAACTGAATTGCAATAGACAGATAGATCAATCAACTATTTAATAATTAGGGGTTAGGGATGGCATTAATTTTACATATAAATATAGGATATTTGGAAACAAAAATCTCCATCCAATTTCCAGATTGAAGCCTTTACCATATCCTTCTTTAAGAAGAAAAATAAAAAACATAAATAGCATCTTCCAAGGTATCACGATAGCTTTTAACCATGTTAAATTTGAAACAACCCAAGGATCATATTGGTGATCGATGGTTCCTAAACAAGCAAAGTTTGATTCAAAATTTTATAGGTCATGTTTGATTGCCAGATTATTTTGGTGATTGATGCAGTCCCTTTAGAGAAACATGATATTTGGGTTTTCTTACATGATTTATTTTAATTTAAATAAATTATGTGTGGTGATTTGGCTCACTAATAAAGGGACACCAACCATGAAGTGCACAAAAG